AGCAGACTGTTGGAATGTTTGAGATTTCTAGAAGCAATTTTTAACTTTTCGGCGCAGTGCAGGTGACATAATTTTGACCTACTCCTTTTCTGATAACTGACATCTGTGCAAGCACATATAAGTTGTTAATCTTTCAGCGTTATCCACATGTGCCTCTTGCTTTCATGATGGGGGAACCAACTTGCTTTTTCTTCCTCTCTTTCTGTGGTTTCTTCGGTAGCTGAGAGGAAATTTTGTTGAATTTGTAACCTGCAATAAAGATTTGTTCAGATTTTCTGCTTTAAACTTAGTCTGGGGTTTAGTGGATAACACAGTTTAAACAAACAAGAGAGTGCTAACTGCATAATGATTACTGGTTAGAAGCAAATAGATCCTATTGGGTTTGTTTACTGCATTCAGACAGTGGTCTAATTAAATATTTATAACAAAAGGCATTTAAAGGATGCCAGCATTGACTGTATTTTATGCACGTATGAACAACTGAAATGTATTGGAGTTGACATAGTTTCTGTGGTTACCTACAGTTGCTAATACAAAGTAAAAATATGCTTCCTTAATGTACAATGATCAGTGTTTGACCCTGAATTAAGAAAAGTCTGAATGAAATGCAGGGTTGGTTTCTGCCATGGCCTGAGAGAAGAGTAACAGCACTAAGTTTTTTCTTGGGAGCTGAGTGGCACAGGAATTTTTCCACTGCAGGGCCAGCTCCTAATTGGGGCATATTTAAAGCTCATCTGATGGACTGAAATCCTACCTCAGCCATTCCTCAGTAGAAGAGAATAGCCACCAACACCTAGAGGTGCCCGAGGCTAACAGGCCTTTTTAGCTGTATAGCAGTGGAAAGACCAATGGAATGCCTTCTTGAGGAATGTTAGAGTTTGCTGTTTTCATCCCCTGCAGAGCCAGGAGCAGCAACTGTAAGAAATAGGATGCGTAGATATTGCTAGAGGGTTGCAGTGCTTTGGAACCACCTGCTGGTGTCCTGCCAGGCAAAAGAAGGATTCTTGCCCTCAAGTTCGATCAGGCTGGGGGAATTTTGGTGCTTTTGGAAACATCCCTGAGAGGCTCCAGGTTGAAGAAGAATGGGGACTGGGCATCTCCTGGGACGTATGACCAGCCTGTGGGATGAGGAGGCAGGACCATCCAGGAAAGCAGCTCTACAGTGCAGGTCCTAGTCCCGTCCAGGAGACAGAGTCAGGGACGGGTGTACCTACAACATTGCTTAGGCATGGACTGAGACATGTCTTCTGGGCCCTTAGGGTGGGGGTCCTAAGGGAGGCTGCTCTCAGCCGTTGAGGCCTATGACCTCCAGGACCCAGGCTGCTTTCAGCACTCCTCTCCCAGTTCATACTTGTAGTGTTTCTCTGTCCCATGTGTGAAATCAAATACTTGTTCTTATTAAATTTCATCCCATTCATCATAGCTCAGTGCTTCAATGTATCTAAACACCTCTGTGAGTCCACTTGTCCTTTGAGAGAGGCAGCAGCACCACCCAGTTTGGTATCATCAGCAAACTCGCTAATGGTGCATTCAGCTCCTGCAATACACATCATTGATAAATACATTGAACGGGACTGGTAGCTGTAAGTGGTTAGTTTGTATTTGTAGCTGGCAACTCTTTTATAGCCAAACAGATCCGTAATACCCAATTCTAATTCCCAGCTGGGTAACAATTTCCATTCTGTATGTCTGCTGCAATTGCTTTGCTCTTGTTTGCTGTTCTTGTGAGAAGGAAGTAAAGGACAGAAACTTTGTTACTCCTAGTTTTACGCTGCGGTGGCAACTGCAGTGTCTAAATACGCTTGGAATGGGTACTGGAATAACTTTGTCATCTTTTAAACTACTGTCTCTGCAAACCTGTCCTCACTTCTTGGACTCTCTCTATAGCTAGGCTGAATATACTCACGTTCTTGTGGGACCTCAGAATGGCCGTATGCTTTTATTGCCATTTCAGCGTTAGAATCAGAACTAAGATTTCCTTATTTTCAGCGCTTATGTCTGCTGTGCTATATCCACAAGCATATGTGTGTGTACATACCTATGCATAAAGGCTTATCTATACATATATATAAGGTTAGCAGTTATCATTTTACACTATTGTGACTACCACTTGACATATCAAACAACTAGTAGAAACAGAAAGAGAATCCAGTTTAAAGAGTAACATTAAGCTGTGCAAACCATGATGCTGCCTTCTTAAAGTCCCCTGCTCTTCTATGAAAAAGTTTCTAACTTCTGAAATGACTGGATCACAGCAGTTGTCTTCTCTACGGGATTTCAGTTCCTCTTTAGAGACACTCTCCTATAGGAGCATGGGCTTTTCCAGAAAAATTATGTTACCATTTATTTTAAACTATGTAGTAATGCCTGTTTTCCACAGGGATTACAAAGAAAATTCACTTGAAACAATTGGTTTTGCAAATTAAATACTCCTGCAGATTTTTAAAACTACATAACTATATAAAAAGCAAACTTGGAGTCTTAATTTTACAAGAAGGATTTTATAATGAGAACTGTTGCTGATACTGATAGGTTTCTTATGCTTTTGAACCCGCAACAGTTCTATAAATGTCACTTACTGATGCTGTAACTTCTCTGTATCATGCTGTTGTCTAGAATGTAGACTAACATCACTTGGCCTTCATGGCATGATGGCATTTTTCATTACGTGGACTTAGAAGCTACAAACTTGCAAAAAGACCTTTAAAGATGTGGCGGACATTGCCAGTGTATCAAGTTCTGTTGACTATGACTACCTAAGAAACTGCAATATTTTACAGTTAAACTTGAAATATATTTCCTGTAACTTTGGCCAGTTTGTATGTTGAAAGACTTTATATTAATTATAGGGTTTAGTTTATGAACTCTTTAAAAAGCTACATAATTAGCAACCAACTCCATATATGGACCTCTAATGATAGCATATATTATTTCTGCACTAATCTCTACATTTCCTTTACTGAAATATGTATACCTGGAACTTGCCTTTTCAAGGTGTGATCACTGATGTGCACAATGATTTAGGAAGAAAAATAATACATGCATCTGAACAGGCTAAGATTCTTCAATCCCTCTCTTAAACTTTTCCTACTTTCAAATGAGTTCTTCTTTGAATTTCTGATTTATTTTTTTTTAATTGAGCTGAAGGTGAGGCTGTCAGACTCTTGTGGGAAACAGTCATGTCTCTTTGAAGAATAAAATTTTTGAGAGTACCAAACAGACTAAAGATTCCTAGCTCCCCATTTCAAAAGTGGCTCTGACTTCTAAGTTCCACTGCCCCACTGTGATGCTTGTGCTACTAAATGTGTTCATTTTATGAGTTTGTTTCTTTGAAAATTTTCTGATCTCCAGGACTGTAATGTTTGCTGAACAATGGGATCTTGAATAAATAAAGCCTTGGTGTCTTGGGGAATAAACCAACAATGCTTTCACTGTTTGCTCAGTGCATACCTTCTTTTCTTCCCCTTCCTCCCCTCCTGGCCTTACCGCTTTGTGCCATGGAGCTGAGCCACAGGCCAATGTGAAGCTGGGGCATCTTGTGAGTGTGCTGCTGCTGCCTGTGGGGGACAATGGCTGCAGTGTCGGAGGGCCTACACAGGGGCACTTGATGGCGTTTCTGCGGAATTGCAGTGGTGTGTGGCATCTACTGAAATCTGTAGGATGAGCAAATGCAAAAATTCCTTTAAGCTGCCAGGCCTCTGAAAATGCCATGTTGAGGCCTCATTGATAAATGCCACAAACAGCAGAACAGTCATGAAAGGAGTTTGTTCAAACTGGGAGACCACATGCCATTCATGTTCAAATTTTAACTGTGGAAAGAAATTCTCATCTTCCCCATCAGTGTGTGCTGTGGGCCATCTGCTCTAAAACTTCATCTCCTATCAGCTTCCGTCTCCAGTACAACAAATCTTTTCCCTAACACCTGGCCCACAGAACTTGGGCCTGGGCCTGTTTTTCATTAGCAGCACTAGGGAGATACAGGATGCCCTTACTTACATTCCCAGTTCCAGGGACAAGAAGAACAGGAAAAGCTTCAGGACTAATTGTCATTTGCTTAAGCTGTATTAATACTGAGCTACAGCAAGCAGCCTTTTAAGAGTGTGTTAAAATGATGATCACTTCTCTATTACTGTTATGAAGTGGCAGACTACAATACTGAAGCTAACCTCAAACAAAAATATGATTTTCCCCCCCGCCTTGTTACTGACTTCCACAATTACTTTTTTTAGGAAGAATAAACTTCCTTAAGACTAGTTTTTATTTTGAAGTATCTAATGGATTTATTGGGTACTGAGGGAGTTCATAAATCTACAGGTAGAAGGCAGCCTTCTTATGTTCTGTCCCTCAAAACCTCTGTAATATAGACAGCTGGACATGTTGCTTATGTTCTGCTGACACTATTATGCTACTTTAACTGGTCTGATCACTGACTTTTAGTGGTCTGCTTGTTCTTTTTGTCTCTTGAAGGTGATAACATGCTTTATTTTCCTCGGGAGTTCATATCACGTGATTCATAAAAGTCATTGAGATGAATGCCAAAATGATATAAATGCAAAAGTTAACAGAAATTAGCACCATAGGAAGTACATTAATTTTTAGAAGATAACAATATAGAAGAAGTTGGCTCACATGAAGGAATCTTACATTATTTTTAAAAAAAGAGACCCAGAAAAACTGAAAGCTATTTATGGTGCACGCTTTATGGTGCAAAATTTTTAAATCAATTTAGGTACTGAATTTTCCTTGTGCATTCAAGCTGTTGTTTCTTAGGTCTGGTTTTTTTTTTTTTTGTAATTGAAAAAATTTGAAATGTCTTTATATTTGTCAGTGATATGTATAGCTTTCAAAATATGGTGAAAAAAGTATTGTAAGAAAGCTACGGCATTGTAATCTATTTTATTGATATTTTGAGTTTTCCTTATACCATCAAATAACAGTACCTGTAAGAATTTTAATGATTTACTGGTAGTAACTTTTTCCTTTTCTTTTTGCTCTTTCAGAAAAGAGCAAAAGGCCAAGTGCTATTTGACAAAGTGTGCGAACATCTCAATTTACTGGAAAAGGACTATTTTGGGCTGCTGTTTTATGAGAATTCAGAACAGAAGGTAAGCCTGTATGAGAGGTTGGTTGGTTTGGTTGTTTATTTTTCTAAATTGCTACTGACTTTAATAGTTTAGTGAGGTATTAAATTACAAACATTGGAGTAAACTGTTGTAAAATGTCAGTCCTAGTCTGCTAATTTTACAAATGAATGGTGTTTTGGTATGAATTCATTCAAAAGGATCTCTTAAATACCATTTGGTAACTTATTTTCAGTTTTCTTTTGCACTTGCTTACATGTTGGGTGGTCGAGAACACATAGATTGCTGAGCTGAGAAAAATCTTAAATCAGTTGGTGGCATGCATTCCATTAATTACCAAAAGCCAATTTAGATCTTCCCAGCATCTGAGCATTTACAGTTAGTTATGGGCTGGCTGCCACTTGATCCATGAAGTAAAGATATACCTGAGCTTAGATGTTCCCTCATAAAGTAAATGGACTAATAATGCGTGTAGATGCTGAAGTGGAAAAAATTATATTTCTTTTTAATCTCTGTATTTGTAGTAGGAAACATTATTCCATGAGTACTATACTTGGTCTGGAAGCTTTTGCTTTTTTTCTGTCATTTTTTTCATCCTGCTGCTGTGTTTGAAATGCAGTCTGACTTAGTGGTCTGAATAATCTAAATCTCTGACAACTTCCATTCAAATACAGTAGTTTTCCAGGCTTGCTTTGCTGCAAGTATTGAGTAAAATACTCAGTTCCTCTGTATTAAAGATACCCATGTATAAAATGGGCCTGATGTATTCTTTTTGTACTTGTATATTTTATTTTTCATCTCGAATTGTAAACCATTTGTAGAAATTTGAACTTCTTTGGTGTAACAATGAAAAGCATGTTGGTTGATCTTCAAGGTAATTGTTGTGCTTTAAATATCATAATCTTAATTAATATTTGTTATTATCACATATTGTCCCTCTAGTAGTGATACTCGTTATTGAAAATGCATCCTGTAAACACACAGCAAAACAACATCCTTGAACTAAACCAGAAAATAGTCCACTTGAGTAGATCCTACAAGGTGGAACAGGGAGCCTTTGGCTTTTGAAAGTGCAGCAGGAAAGTCTGCATTGGTGTAGAATTATGTCATTTTTTTTTTTCTCCTTTTTTAATATGCTTCTAGTTGGACTAAGAGATTTCTTGCTATTCTTCAGTCATGTCGATGGAGGAACAGCACATCACACCTTAAAAAGATCCCATCTGTTTTTTCATTCTTGACTGTATATGAGCCTGGGCAACCTGATCTGTTCCAAAGCTGGCTCTGCCTTCAATCACAGTTAAATCAGTTATCTCCAGAGGTCCCTTTCAGCTTGAATGAGCCCCTGAGCTCACTATCCATTGGCTATGGAGGTGCTACTGTAGCAACACTCACAAATGAAGTATTTACATAAATTCAGCAAGAAGTATCTTGGTAATGGGGTCCCTGTGGTTCGGTTATTTATACACCCAGGCTAATTATAGCGCTCTTTTTCAAGGAGTAGACCACTTGTCACCAGAATTATGGACAACAGCAGGCTTTTCTTTAAAAAGTTCTGGAGAAACCTGGACTGATTTGTTACAATGACTAAAAAAACCACCGTTATTGGGTGTTGTCTTCTTCATACAAGTATCATTTGAAGAAACTTAAAAAGGAGTCTTCTCTAGCAGATTTGCATTTCCCGCCTCCTACTATCTATTGCAGGACTAAGCTTAATTTATGGTGAACTGCAGGAACTACAAGATTTTGAATGCCAGTGTGTAGCAGAGAACGAGGGGTTTATTTTAGGTATTTCCTGGCTGGATAACCCATATGCTTCTAGATTTTACCCAAAGTGCCATTATGTGGATGGTTCTATGCCCCTAGTGCAGCTCTAAGTTGTGATTACCACGTAAATGGGAATACCCAGGTTTTCAAAGAAGGGTTTGAAAATGCGGGTTTTGGCATGAACTAGGTGCTTGCCTAAGAGCTTACATTCTTTCACAGGTTGCACAGTGTAATGTAACATGCGCATGTTGATATAGGCTTGCTTATTTTTACTGCTATTGTCACTCAAGTTACCTGATTCAAAGCTACTGGTTTTGTACAACACTGTGTTTGGAAGTTCTTATACAGGTTATGATACAATCATATCCTGGTAATGTGAAGGGTAGCTACTGTGCTGTCTTAAGGAAGCTTAAGGACTTGGAACTTCTAGTTTCAGGGCCTTCTATTTTGTTCACCTCTGAGTTTGGCAGTTTTTACATCTCAATACCAGTTCTTTCTGATCCTTTTTTTTCTCCTGTTATGACTGCCTCTTCAGATTAAAATGCCACATATCACTGACCTCTAGGCCAGTCAGTATTAAATGCTGAATGATGTGTTTTTCTCATTCTTGTGTGCTCATCACAGCTACCCATTTATGAGCCAGCTGTTGAACTCAACAGCAGCTGTGGGGTGTGCAAACTGAATGCCTGGCACTCTTTTGAATTAGAGCTGCTCCCTAATGCACCATCGGGGTACCATTGGAGGAGAAGTCCCATTAACTTTTCTCTATGGTGTTCTGTGTAGCTGAGAGAGATGTCATATCTTCAAATCAGACAGATTTTTATTAGATTCAATACACATTTTAAAACTCTTTAGGTCAAATTACTCATTAATGGTTTTCTTCATTGTTTTGGAAATGTTAAATTTATTGGTCTAAAGTTTAGGTAGGGATTTCATTGCATTACACCCTCAAAAGTTCATGAATGTGCCATTCACACTGTAATTGGTCTGCAGAAGTGTTAGAAAGCTTCTCTGCTTATGTTCTAGGCAGCAGCTGGAAATACTGCTTTTCTGGATTTGTACAAAATACTTTTGTACTGGCTGAGAACATTTTGTTGTTCTTTGACAATTCATTACTATAACCTTACAAATCACAAATTAAATAACTTCTGCCTACTGGAGCAAAGTTGTGTATATACACTTTGTCTTTTGATTTGAAAGACAGACCTGTGTATTCTGCATTAAGAGGTCTATTTCAGGGTGGATTCTTTCAGTAGTGTTTGTTTTATCCATAACAAAAGGCACAGATGCAAAAAGCCCACCCCTCTAATTATGTATATAAATGGAGTATAAGCATCTGTTTTTATTTGACAGAATAGTAATTCAAGTTGGTGAAAAAGTCTGCTTCCAATAAGCTCACTCTAGGTTTGTAAAATCAGAAAATGAACTGTATAACTTCTGCAAAGAAAAGGTTATTCTTCTCACCTTGCAGCATATTCTGTATTATATGTTCTTCTACTTCATAGCGATAAAACATTGAAAATAACGTATACTCAGGAATCCTAGTTTTCTGCTGTAGTTATGCCATGCTATATTCTGTATTTACTTACTTTATTCTATACTTATACTGCAATTTAAGAGTTTAAGCTACTTGCAGTTATTTTTAAGCTACTTGTAGTTACCTTTGCAAGTGGAAGAATATGGCTGTATATCATTTTGGAATAGAACTCACGCCAAAACTGAAAACCTAGGACAACTGTAGCTGAAGTGAGTTTCAGCTAAAATTATTTGAAGACTTATGTTGTCTTCCAAGGCCTTTCCATGTCAAGGCCTTTCCATGTCAAGGCTTTTCCGATAGATAGTAGTTTGCTGACTTAAGCAGAATAAAGAGTATCCAGATTTTTTGGAGGAGTGTTTTGTATCTCTTCCTTTGTAATGATGTTATGGACTGTGCATCTCTGGAAGAGTTATAGTAGCTGTGAAACGTGGACATCACAGACTTCTTAAAGCAAGTAGAGTGAAATTATTCTTTTTTTTATTATTACTTATTTTTAATTACATCTGTAAAATTGTAGAAAGGAAGTTTTACGTTTAATTTGTAAGTAGTAGTTGTCTAATATATACATGCTGAATTTGTGATTAAATCAACTTCAACCAAGGTCATTTACAACAGGGAACTTAGTATTTTGGGTCATATTTATAGAAGCCACATCCTTTATCAGCAGAGGTGATCTACATGAAAGATGTGCAATAGTGCAAAAACACACAGTTCCACATTCTTTTAATCCATACAGACCCCTAAAGCTGTAGCCTCATGCTTTGTCTCCTTGAAGTAAATTTGACCTTTGGTGGAAAAGCCTATAATAATGACTGAGGGATACTGAATTGGAATACAGTTGTTGCGTCAGGAGTTTGGTACCTTAGACTGGAAGGTGAGTCAAATTATACCCAGTGTCCACTACTGGTTAGCTTAGGCAAGAAACATTGGTAGAGATAAACGTTTAGCAACAATTGTGCTGGCACTCAGGTCCCCTCTGACTTTAAAGCTGCTAATATGTGTAGTGATTTGTGGAAATGCACGTATTGTCCTTGACCTCACAAGTTTTCTTCCCTACTTCGCATAACTCTCTGATGTGCACCAAGTCCTGCTGGCGAGCTGATGGTGTGTGTGTTTCTTCCACATCTGTGTGTGCGTATGTGTGTCTGGCCACATGAATTAAAGGTTCGAACACTGTATAGTCTCAGTAACTGCAGTTAAAAGGCTTATGTTTCTAGTCTCTCATTCAATCTATTTTTTAACATCTATCGGTAAAATTAGTGAAGAGGATTGTCTGAGTTACCGATGTGTATACTTTACAGATTTATTAGTCTCACTTCCCAAAGTTACATTTTTGGATGATCAGTCACAAAGTGTCTTTGCAAATATCGATAGTAACTGAAGTGCTGTGAGCTGTTTAATAGGTTGCACAGATGATATGAAAATATTTTTGGTATTGAGGATAAAACACATTTTAAAAAAAGCATCTAAAATATGAAAATCTGACTTTATTTGCATTGCCTGAAATAGAGCTGAGTACCCAGATTTGAACCTTGCCAGCATATCAGTGTTAACATAATACATGTTCATAGAGAACTTTGCTTTGGGGGAGGTTAGAAAAAAAGCATGAAATTTGATTAGGTTTTTCCAAGCATCTTTGAATATTACCAGAACTGAAATGTATACGCCTTAAGATGAATGATACGAATAATAAGTCTCTGGAGTTAAAGAGAAATGTTATCTTAGGTAACTCTATTTAGGTGTATAAGCACAGATGCATAGAGATTACATAGCCATTCCTGGAAAGTCTGCTTATGTCCATAAAAGGAGTATGAGAGAGAATTGTGTTTGTCAAATGTCATTTGCTAGACCACCTCCACTGGAGGACTCTCCAGTTTTTAATAATACAGGGCATAAATAGTCTAAACCAGTAAGACAACCATGAAGGGAGTGGCATTGCACTGTTTCATTTATGTGCATGGGTGGGGAGACTTGCTAGCAAATCTCAAGTTCAATTTTAGAGTTCTGTGGGTTGTTTTAAAATAGAACAGATGTCTGAACAATACAGGCTTTAATTGCACTGAATGAAATTACTTCATCATCTTCAGTCTGTGGTGATTTTAAATGTTGGTTGTGGGTTTTTGTTTTTTTTTTTTCAGAACTGGCTAGATTCTTCAAAGGAAATTAAGAGACAAATTCGAAGTAAGTACTTCTGTATTCAGATGTTATGCTCCTTTTATTTCCTCACAGAAATATTCTTCATAAACTTAGTAGCCTGGATGTTGACTGCATTGTATGCTTGCAGCATTACAATAATGTATATCTGATAATGACGTATTATTCAGTGTTAGAACAGAAAGCATAGAAACTGTCCCACTCAGCCTTGTGTTGCAGAAGTTAATCATTAAACTGGCTGCTGCCTCAAAATTTTTCTGTTATATGCAAATAATAGTTGGTCTTTTTGCATCCTGAAACAGTAGATTTTTTTCAAATTTTTGTTGATATTTGGGTTATGGGATGGAGAATATAATCTTGCAAAGATGGTTATGATTGTTGCTTTAGGACTTTCTTACTTCAAAGACTGACCAGAATATGAAACTATAAAAAGAGAATCAATATGTCTTACAGAAAATGTATATTCTTCAGTACTGCTCAGTCCAGCATTGGCTTTTTGATGTTTCCATCATTTCTGGAATGTAAATGAAATAGAGCATAATCTTGGAATGTCTTGCTACAATGCTTTTCAGACTGAATCCATGTGAAATCATAGTGGTGTTAATTCTGTTTCCTTTAGGCCTTTCCCAGTTGATGAAATTCCTTACTAGGCAGATGTGGTTTGTATTTTCAGAAAAGAAATGAAAGTTAGAGAAACTTCCTTGGAAACGGTTTTGTTTCTTTGGATCAACATGCTCTTGTATAAGAAAACTAGACCTCTTTAAATGGTGAATGTGCTAATATTCAAGTAGAGGCTACTGTTTTAATTAAGGAAAAGTTACTGGTATTATATCTTTGTACTTTGCAGGTCTTCAGTAAAAACTTAGTAGTTGGCCACATACATGGGCTAAAGGCTGTTCTGTTTGGTTTTAGTGTTTGACATTAAGATAGAGGATATTGATACTTTTTGTTATTCAGTGGTGATCTGCATGCTGTTTAGCCTACAAAGCACTGACCTGATAGCTTTTTGGATTCTCACTACACAACATTTTTTAATATTGTATAACACATAATACAAAAAGTATTTTAAGGCAATGTGATTTGTCCAATGGCATGAAACCTTCATTTTGTTGGAGATCAAATCCAGTTTCTTGTATTGGGCATCATGACTGGCATTTTTTCTCCAGTCTATAGCATTTCAGAGTTGATAGGCACAGAGTATAAGGCAAACAACTAATAAGAACACCTTTTTAAGGATTTTAAAAAGAAACCTCCTTACACTAATTTACAAGCGATCAGCACACAGTCACTTGTGTTCCTCATAATCAGTGGATTAATGTTTCCAGATATTGGAATGTGCTGCAGGCAAGTTTTATCCTCCAGCTACATGATTGTCAAGTAGTGAGGCTTTTCTTTGTTTTAGGCCTTGTTCTAAATATATGTCTTCGAATCAAGAATAGAAATCTTATGTACAAAAATACTCATTCATAATAAATCGAAGGTACCTCCAAAATGTCCTAGTCCATTTGAACATTTGAAATTAAGAAACTAATTTTTTTATCTTGTACAGCACAAACTGAAGCACTAGTATGCTATATAAGCATCTAGACAAGTACATTGATCTGAACACACAATGGTGATAAATTCAGAAGTGGAGTTCAGCATGTCAGTCTGCAACTTTATAATAATCTCTGCTCTCTCTTAATGTGAGCAGTACCAGTACTCTGCACATTGGCCATATGTGTATCACCTGTGGCTGGAGAAGACAAAAGATAATCTTTAAGTCTCCCCCAAGTCATGTTCTGCATCAGGTTGCCTCTAAGTCAGGGACCTCAGGCCTTCTATGTGATCTCTTATTTATTCTGGCTGGCCTTTGGCTGGGCAGTTATGTTGGATCTCAACAATTACTGGTGTTACTTTGGCTAATTAACATGATGCGCAAATTACTGGCTCTGTTCTCAGGGCTATAGAGCTGGCAAGACGCTTGTTGCTTTCAGCTGGCCTGATCTCTTCAGGAAAATTAATTCTTGGCTTTTTCTTGACTTATGTAATTGTGTATCCACTGGCATGTGTTAAAACCTCTAATGAATTCAAATAGGGACAGGTAAGATAATTACACTTCTGTCACTATCTTCTTGAAAATTGCTACATCTCAAGTGGATTGAGGCTTTTGCAAAATTGCCAATTTCAGCTTGAATATTGTGATGGTACAAGCACTAGCAACTGACTTTGGAATAGGCAAATCCCAGACTTCACAGGGGGTGTGGTGGTTCACCCTTAGGTAAAGTTAATTTGACAATTTATCTGTGTGAGATGCTGTACATACAGTTAATATAGAACACATGGTATTACACTTAGTTTTTTCTGTAGGTATTTTTATAACTCTCATTCTCAGTGTAACAGAATTGAATGAGTAAACTACATAAACCTGATCTCATCATAGTGTTTATTGCAGCTGAATATCAATCTTTTGTCTGCAATGTAGGTGTTCACAGTTATGGATAAAGATTAGAGATGTGACTGTTATAAAGTGTCTGTTTTGGGAAGTCTTAAGTATTTGCTTTTATTGTTTGTATAATTGAAGTATATGAAACTGGGTTTCAGACCTGGTTATCTTTCTTTCTCTTAAAACAAATTTTGAAGCTATTTTTTTAGATATATCCTGGTTTTAGTGTGGATGTAATTAATTCTCTTCCAAATGGAAATTAGATTTGTATGCTGTGTGAAATAGTTTAAATCCAAGGTAATGTTCTGTCAGTTAAATCTGTTTCTAGTCTGCAGCAGAATTAGTGGTTTTTATTACAAAAAATACTTCCATAATGCTTATCCTGTGTTGTGTATCTTATAAAAATTGGAGAGTATTTGGATATTCTGAGGTCAGAAAAGACTGGTATAGGGAGTTTTTTGTGCATTCTCTTCCAATAAAGGATACATTTAACTTTTTTGCTCTTGGAAGTTAACTGTAAAATTGTCTTACTGCCTTCTGTCAAGAGAATACTTATTTAGCCTGAAAAATTGTAGAACTCATCACTGTACCTAGGCTATAACTAATGTGACCTAATATAGGGTGACTTTGTCCACCTAAGGTAAATGCACTTGTTTTTTTAAGGAACAGGCACTTCTAGGAGGTGACTGAGTTCATTCTGAAATAGATGCCTGAGAGGGGAACCAAACTAAATGCCTCTTTTCTTTCACTGGCTATGAAGGGAGTCCGTACATACATAATTACATCTTATCAGTCTAGGGTCAAAAGAAACTGTGTCCACTAGCATCTAACGAGATAATGGCTCCAGTGACAGAAAAGACATTTTCTTTTTAGAAAAATGAGTGATTAACTGAAGGACTGAAGACAGAAAACTTAATTTGCTTGTTATTTGATTCAGTTTAATTATTGAGGGGAGTAAGGGAAATCTTCCCTGTAATTTTATGGAAGGGGATTAGAAGAGATAAATAGTACAATAGGTAAGGCAACTTGTGACAGATCTTGGGCTACAAGTTTAAACCTTTCTCTTTGCTCATGCTGAAGACTCTTCTCAACATCCTTTTGTTGATGGGGAACCAGTCATTCTGATTGGGGAACTGAAAACAGCAAAATGCAGTACTGGCCTATTCTGAGACATACGTAGCCAGCCAACAACTTAAGTAGTTCTGGGGCTTGTCATGGAGTTGAAATGGATTTTTCCCTCCCCCTCCCATTCTTGGTTATACGATGCATTCTGCAACACAGCCTAAACAACTGCTGAGGAAAGAGGATGATACAGAAGAATAATTATATGGTTAAATAGGTATATTTTCAAATTATGCAGTAGACCAAATGGTGATAAGTTCATAATTAAAATTCCATGAGAATAATAGAAACATGAGTTTAGAATTTTTCAGCACACTGTTCTAAAATATTTAAGAAATCTAAAGTTTGTATTTAAGGCGCTAAGGTAAGTTAGAATTAAGAAAAGGGCTTGCGTTTTAAGTGTACATCTGTGGCTGTCTGATTTTAATGCTAACAAAATGTATGGTTATGCTCAGGCACCAAAATATAGGGGTCACTTTATGCAGGGTCACTTTATTTTGTATCCATATCTTTTATGTAAGTAACTTTGTATCTGTAAAAGTTGTAGCAAATTTTGATCAAAGCTAATTACACTAGAGTCTGGCTTATAGTTACTGAAGAGACCTAAGTACCTGTGTCAAGAGAAAAATTTTCCTGCAGAGGTACTTCTGTATGCCTGCTAATTATAAAGAATGATTTTGCAGTTTGGAGATGTCTGAGTTTGAGAGCTGAATCTTCTCAGTCCAACCAGGACTGTCAGTATTCTGCTTTTTATACATTTTTTTAAAATGTGGACTGCATATGGATCTTCCTTATTTCCTTGGTTCTCTTGCTGGTACTTTTAAGAAAAATTTAAGAAATATTTTTCTGAATTTTATGGGGCATTTTTGCATCTGCCTGTGAGTAATGTGTCTGTCCTGGTCACACAGTGCCCTAAAAATCATGAGTAAAAGCCAAAAAAGGCCTTTACTGGAAAAAAGACCTCACTGATTTTCCAGTTTAAATGGGATGAATCATGTTACTTGTATGCTGCTTGCTGATTGGTTATATTGCATTCTTTTTCTCTAAGAATGTGCCTAAAGTTGCCACAGAAGCATTTTTGAGGTAACAAGCTGATTAGAAAAAATTCTGACATTTCTGTAGCCCGTATTATTAAGCATCAAAACAGAGAGCCTTATCAGGGACAGAATGCTACATACCATTTTAAATATCAGATTTATTTATTTTTTTTTTCTTGGCCACCAATTCAAAGAGCCATAATAGTGTGCATCATTGTGTGAAGACAATTCCATTTGTATGCCTCAATTATGCGGCTATAAACAGCACGCTGTAGTGACAAGTATAAGTATAGACTGTGCCCATTGTAATATACTTGTTAGTCTATATTCAGGCAATAGATGGGCTTTCAGTAAATAGGCAAAATATAAGGTCACTAACTGTCCAGAAAATATTTAGTAGAAAGCCAACTACAACATTTTTTCAGTGGATTAGCTATGGAATTAGTATGAGTAAACATCTGAAATGTTTCACATAGTCTATACATTGAGTATTTACACTCTTTTTAGCTATTTGTAGAGAATACAGATTTTTTTTTTTTCTTCCTCCTTCAAATGGTTTCTAGGTGTCCTGGCTACAGTGCTTTCTGGAAGGTAACTGCAGAAATGCTGGCAAGATAGAGAAATATGTTAAGCAGGAATTAATCTGTAACTAGTACAATTGCAAGTTTTAGACCAGGAAAAATTGCTTCCAAACAGGAAATATTGTTTCATTCCAGGAAAACTTGAAGGCTGGTTTAGTATCTGTGTAGAAGGACACATGCTTCATCCGTCTCTCCCCATCCCACCGTCCTGCTAAGATGACAACTCTTCCTGAACTATTTTGCTTCGACATTTTGGCCCAGTTGCTTCTCTGCATCAGTTTGGCTTATTCCTTATCAGCAGCTTTTCATTAAATGATAAGTCGCTGGGAGATAAATGACGGAAGTGGGCTAATCTATTCCAGATTTAATTCCATTTGTGATGCTATATGTATTAATTAGTGTTAGACTTTTTTTTTTAAAGGTATTTTTGTCCTAATTCTGTCTCACACTGCATTGCAGTAGGTGATGCAACAAGGCATATTTTACCCAATTGAGCATTATATGTGCATCCAATAAATTAGACTTTTTCATTTAAGGAGTCCTGCCTTATTTTGTAAGCAAAGTAATCAATATTCTAACAAATAATTGATAACTGGGAACATTAAGATGTGCTAAACCCCTAATCTCTCAAAAGGAAGTAATGATTTAGGGGCCAGGTAGAGAAAGAGGTTCACATGTAAGCAGAAATTGAAGTGCTCCAATGAATAGACATATTTGAAAATCTGAAATAATTTTTGAAATGTTGAAAGACATTAGAAATGTTGGCACAAAGCACCTCTCTTCACCTTTAACGTGAAATTTTAGAAGGGGATTTTTTAAAAAGAAATAACCTTAAACCAAAATGTCAGCACTGTTTTCTAGAATTATGTTGGAAATGGCATTTCAGTGGGTTGTTTTTTTTTTTTTGGTGTTTTTGTTGTTGTTAAAATACACATTTTTCAAAGCATGGTATTTAAAGTAGGTTACTGTCCAGAATTCATCATTAACAAGCTTTATAAAATGAGTAACTTTTTACCAGAGATTCTTTTTGCTAGGCCTTTCTCCAAAATATTATTTGCATTAGGAGAAAAGGGGCAAGAGGAAGACAAAAATGGCTGCTGAATCGTTTTGATGATAGTATTTTCATAGAATCATGGAATGGTTTGGTCCGGAGGAGACCTTAAAGACCGTCTAGTGCAAACCCCCTGCCATGGGCAGGCACACTTTCCACTAGACCAGGTTGCTCAAAGCCCCGTCCGGCCTGGGCTTGAACACTGCCAGGGATGGGACAGCCACAGCGTGTCTGAGCAACCTGTGCCAGTGCCTCACCACTCCAATAGTGCATCAAGACCTTCCTCCTAATATCTAACCTAAATCTACCCTGTTTCAGTTTAAAGCCATTCCCTCTTGTCCTATCACTACAAGCCTGTGTAAAAAGTGCATCTCCAGGACTTTTGTAGGCCCCCTTTAGGTACTGGAAGGCTGCTGTAAGGTCTTCCCTGAGCTTTCTCTTCTCCAGGCTGAACAATTCCAGCTCTCTCAGCCTATTTTCATAGGAGAGGTGCTCCAGCCCTCTGATCATCTTTGTGGCCCTTCTGGTTTTCTTATCTTTATTTATTGTTTTTAGCAGTCCTACACTGTACTGTTACTTTGTTTGGTAAGATACAATAAAGCTCAAGTGCATTTGCTTTCAAGCAGCGTGCAAAACCAAACTATTAAATTCTTCTCCTAGACTCCTACTTTGTGACTTTTTTATTACATACGTATATCTGCATTATACTTAATAAAATCTGTTTGACTTAGCAAAGTTCTACATTTTGTCAAACTATTAGTACTTTCCAATGAATGTATTGCTCTTGCACATAGTGTTACAGTACTGGTAAAGTAACATTCTGAGAATGTATTTTAATTATTGATGAATGACTTCAGCTTTCAAATCTTAAAAATTTATTTAACTCTAGAGCTGTGACTAAAGGCAGTATTTTATGATTTGTCAAATTATTGATCTAGTTTTAAGAATGCTTTTTCTTAAAAATTGCATGTGGTGTTGCCAATTCAAATACATGAGAATTTAAACTTAAAATATCATTGCTATTATAGTTGCTAAAGATATTGTTTCTCAAAAAGTACTTTCAAGGAGGAATGGTTAGTATTTTTTGTCCTCCATCCATTCTGTATGAATATGAATAATTTGTGTATACAATGCAGGCCTCATTTTGACATCTCATGTTCATAGTTTTTGTACAGTCTCTCAAACAAACAGTCACTTTAAACAGGAGGAGACTGTTAGCCTTCGAGGAGCAGGAAATAAACACAAATTCAGTGCAAGTGTCTCTGAACCAAGAATATCTTGAAAGTGTTAATAATATTATGGTATTTTTCAAAATTTTTAAAAATGTCTTCTGATATTTACATAACTTTCTGTAAAACTTTATTTAAAAATTAGTTTGATGTGCTAATCTTTTACTGACTATGTATATGAGTTACTACCTGAGAATGAAACTATTCTGTGCTTCTTACTAATATGCCGTAAAAGGAGGAAAAATCTTTACTCAGGATTCAGTGATCTAAGATTTATATGACTGCCTAATATTTTTCAGTAAGGTTCTTTCTTTGCTTTCTTCAGCTTGTTTGAGATTAACAATCCAACGTTTCCCATGTTTAGGTTTACCTTGGATATTCACCTTTAATGTGAAGTTTTATCCCCCTGATCCTTCACAGCTGATTGAAGACATCACTAGGTAGGTATAGTTCCTAATTTCAAACTAAAAAATGACTGTTAGTCTAATTTGAAGGCCATATAAAATTTCTTCAGTTTCTCGATGCTGTAAGAGGTTTGGCTATTACTTTAGAACACTGTAGATATTTTTACATCAACTCCTTTTGGAACAAGGTTGAAAAAGGCAAGGTGAAAACTTCAGGAAGAAACCTGAGAAAGAATTTAATGGTAAGTGGGGATATGATTTGGGCAGGAGGTAAGATGCAAATGATCTTTTATGAAAGAAGCCAGTGGTTTATTGTCAGGCTGCTGCTTTATTATAAGGTAAACAAGGGTGTGAGGTATTGATATTGAGAGTGAAGCTCAAGGGATCCACGATACTTCAGTAATAACCTAGACTAGGTTGGTGAAAAGCTAGTTTTATACATATGCATTAAATAGAATCCTTAGAATCATAAAATTTTTTGGGTTGGAAGGGACCTTAAAGACATCTAGTTCCAACTCCCCCTGCCACAGGCAGGGTGCTCAAGTCCAATCTGACCCGTCTTTGAACACTGCCAGGGATGGGGCAGCCACAACTTCTCTGGGCAGGCTGTGCCGGTGCCTCACAATCCTCACAGTGAAGAATTTCTTCCTAATATCTAACCTAAATCTACCCTCTTTCAGTTTAAAGCCATTACCCCTTGCCCTATCACTACAGGCCCTGTGCTAGGGTAGGATGTCTACTGATTGTTAACTTGTTAAATTTGGTAAAAGTCCGTATGCAGTACCTGAAATACTAAATTCTAATACATACGTTTAAGGCAGGTAATTATTATTTCGGTACTAAACCAGATTTCTTCTCTTGTTACATGACTTGATTAGCTCATGAACTGCAAGGGATATAAAAGAATATTAAAGCCAAAGGGAAATGTCAAATGAGTTTTATTTTTAAACTTTAGATACCTGCAGGCTACAATGTGAAATGAAGGAGTTCTAAGCCAGCTTTTGTTACAAGCTAGGTACAGTTTTTCATTCATTTATACTGAAAATCAGAATTTTTCCTGCTTTTCACATTATTTATGAAAGTAATATCAATTGTTAAAAGTGAAAGTGAAATTTGCTGTGTGGCAGTAATGCTCAAATAATGTAAGGTGTAATGAATTATTAATGCATTGATTTAATTTAAAATATATGATTACATGCATGTCAATAAATTCTGTCATATCTCATAAGCCTGCCATTAGTAACACTTTGTCTGTTCTTGATTTCGATTGTTTGATTTTCTTCCCCCCCCCCCCCCCCCCTTCTTGTAACACTTTTTCTTTTTTTTTTTTTGATTTTTTTATTTTCCCCCCCCCCCCCCCCCTCTTTTATCTTTCAGGTATTTCTTGTGCCTACAGCTTCGTCAGGATATTGCTTCTGGTCGACTGCCATGTTCTTTTGTGACTCACACCCTCCTTGGTTCATATACCCTGCAGGCTGAGCTGGGTGATCATGACCCAGAGGAGCACCGCAGTGACTATATCAGTGAATTCCAATTTGCACCCAATCAGACTCAAGAAATGGAAGAGAAAGTAGCTGAGCTACACAAAACACACAGGTGTGTCAGATACACTGGGATTAAATGAAATCATTATGCTTTGTCATGTTTATGTCAATCCCTTTAAAAGCATGTGTAAAACTGCTACGCTGAAGTTACTTATACTTTGGAAATCTATTTCTATGTTACTAGAGCCTCTTACATGTGTTTAAAAATTGTGGTTTTAAAGGATCTGCTCATCTGAATTAGTTTAAGCAACATGGCACTAGAATATTTTGAAAGAGTGAAGGTGAATATCTCAACTGAAGAAATTTAATATGCTGAATTCCAGGATTCCACTCAGTTTTGATTCTCAGTTCTTTTGGCAATAAACTCAAGGCTTATTCAATGGTTTTAGGGGCTTGACTCCAGCGCAGGCAGATTCCCAGTTCCTAGAAAATGCGAAGAGACTCTCCATGTATGGAGTGGATTTACATCATGCCAAGGTATTGGGGATTAGTTTGGTTTTGTTCTGGTTTTGAATAGACATGCGTAGTATTAAAGAACATAGTATATATATTTTCTTAAAAATGTCATACCCTCAGTTTTTAGGTATAAGCCTTTTAGCTATTGGTCATGATAATTTACAGTTTACAGCTTTAACATCCTTAGAATTTATTTTAAATCTAAACTTACTTAATGCATGATGTATGTGCAGCTTAGAAATAATATTTTATTTATAGAAGTGGCTAAATATATTTTAAATGTCAGATTTTTGATGCCAAGGGGATGTAGGGCCATAAAGTAAAGCCTAGAAGAACATGTAATTGATTTAATAATACCATGAGAGTTAAAATCGGGGTGGGGGATGAGTGGTTTTTGGAGCTTTTTCCACTCTTCTGGGAAGGTCAAATCAAATTTATATTTCTAGTGGGATTTTTTTTTTTATTTTTTTAATTTATTTTTTGTTAAAAACCCAACTAACCAACCCCCTCCCACTTCCTCGCACAAATCCAGAGTCTCAAATCATTAGGAAAATAAATAGGTTCTAAGCATATCAGTCCTTTATATATTTAAAAAAACCCAAACCCAAAACCAACCAACCAACCAAACAAAACAAAGCAAAAAACCCCAAGACTTTTAAGTACTGGCAGAACATTTTTTTAATTCTGTTTCATATGGAAACAATATGCACTTGGTTTTGCAATTTTCCATAAGCTTCTTTCTTGTGTTCTCATTAGAAGCACTTGAAAGAAATAAATACACACAAATTTTTATTCATGTACATTAACTATGTCTGTAACATTTATTTATGTATTTGTTTTGGTTTTGTTTTTTTTTTAACACAAGTGCAGCTGGCAGTTCAGTTGGTCTGTAGTGTTTTAAGGAACTTAGTTTTTTCGAGTTTTATTGGAGCTTTCTTTTGCTGTGGTGAAGTATCTGCAAGCGTTAGAACTGCTGTTTGCCAGGAACCACTTGCAGCATTAGTTATGCCAGTGAAGCAACTTCTTAATGACAGTGTTGGCATTTGATGTAGCTGATTTGTTATTGGGGAGGACATGAGATTTTGCTGTGTTTTGTACCACCAGCACTTTGAAATTACTATGTTGATATTTTCAGCCAAGTATCCATTACTTCCCATGTCTTTACTGGAATAGTAGGTGACTGTAGAAGGTCATCATGATCATCAACTTGTTCAGACTTTCACTGACTTTTAAGTTGGAAAGGTTTGGTTTTAGTTTTTCTTCTTTTAATATTTGTTTAAATTATCGGTACCACACCCACCATAATTTTATTGCTTTTAAATTGTTAACTTAGTCCCTTTCGCCGGATATTGAAGAATTTCCCAGAAACATGGCATGTGCAATGGCATGAGAGAGCCAAAGCCATCACTTGGAGTCCAAAGCCTTTCCTATAAAATCTACATACTTGTCAATTTCTGCTTTAAGAATCTCATTGTTGGGGTCTTTCAGGTTTAAATATGAAATAAATTCGAGTTGCATTATTCCCTCAACTATGCTAGCAGTCATTACTTTTTTGGAATGTTATTAAACTGATTTTTATGAAATTGTCTCATATGTGGTAGGATTCTGAAGGTGTGGATATCATGCTGGGCGTATGTGCTAATGGCCTGCTCATTTACAAAGATAGACTCCGGATCAACCGCTTTGCTTGGCCAAAAATTCTGAAGATTTCCTATAAACGAAGTAATTTCTACATCAAAGTCAGGCCAGCAGAAGTAAGTAGCACCTTTCTGTCCTGTTTCCTCTCTGACATCATTTCTATCCAGCAACAAGAAAACATCCTCATCTTTTTCCCAGATGTTCTCACAGGCTTATGCTGGATTGAAGCAGAACTTAAGAGCATTTTATTTTCCTTTTCATATTCTACTGATTATATTAAACACTTCTCTTGATTACTAAATGCAAACCAAGAAGAAAATCAATTTTCTTTGATTAATAGATGCCATCTTGTAGTTTTTAAAATTTTTTTACAGCAAAAGCTAGTTATGCTGGCCATGTTCTTGAGTGTTTATATAAACTTGAAGTCCTGGGAGAGAGCCAGCTTCTCTTCGTATTCGGGTATAATTGTTTGCTGAATGTCAGTGCATCTAGTTTATGGCTGTAACCGAAGGCCTAAGTTGTCCTGTAGGAGGTTATAACTCTTTCTGTTAGCTGCTGTGGAAATAGTGGATTCAACTTTCTTTTCAGATAGTGTTCTAAGTTTATGAAAGTTGCTGAAGGAGGGGAGAGGGATATGTTTTGAACACATTGTAACTGGAAATTTAACAAAATGTCAAAAACTGTAATGCTTTGTTATAGTCTAAAATGTAGCTTTTACTGTGTGTATAAATAAAACAAAAGAGAAGTCTAAATACCAGTAATACAATACTAACATTGTAGTTTTGTAAGTTTTGGAACACAGATGTATTGTTCTTGCACTCGCTGATGGTACATAGATGCGATATTTTTGCCAAGAAACTATTATATAGTGAAATGGCTTAGATGAGCTTAACACTGCACTGTGGATTTTAGACTTTTACTAAATCAAAGGGAAGTGTGCAGCACAACCTGCAGCACAATATTTCATGCAGTTTAAAAATAAATGCATCAAGCAGGTAGTCAGAAAATGAGCAAGGAGCACTAAAGCATTATTGGGTTTTTCAAAAGAGTCATTAGTTCAGTTAGGAAGTGGTAATGTGATTACCCATCATGGCTAACTCCCTAAGCATAATTTTATTAAAAGGCTGGAAATTCTGATTAATTTTTATTATTTCTAAATCTTGTGAAGTCTTATGACAGGAGAATTAGAGCTTGTTACAGTAATAGAACTATCTGAACTCTGTCTTCTAGTTAATAGCCAGCCTAGGCAAATGGGTTAATTTATTTTTGGACTCTTTCCAGATGGAACAGTTTGAGAGCACTATTGGGTTCAAACTCCCAAACCATCGGGCTGCTAAAAGGTTATGGAAGGTTTGTGTGGAGCACCATACTTTTTTCAGGTAAATGATAACTCTCTGCTTCCCCCACTTTAACAGGTATGCTCATATCTTCCTATTAAAGAATAGGAGGAAAGTAGAGAAGATTTCCCCCCTCTTTGCCCCTAACTTCCCAGTCCAGTAACACCTTTTGGAGAGAAGACACCCTAACAGTCACTTACCCTAGACTGACAATTGTGGAAGTCTGAAGTACAATGAACTGCTTAATTTAAACTTTGAGTGCTAACAGGATGGGACTAAACTAGTTACCATATGTAAGATTTCCTGAGAGATTGATTCTTCAGAGTGACCATCTAGAAAGCTAGTATACACCTTCTAAATAAGTTCTCAGGGCTTGACAGTAATCTTTATTCACTTCACTTTTTAGAATATTCCGCTGAGTGTAAATGCTTACAGCTGAATTTTTCCTTATTTATAAAAAGGGCTGAGTTCACAGCCATTCATTAAAGAACAGGGAATTGCTTCAATACTTGTATATGTAATAATTCATAATTTTTTCTGCTTCCCTCCCCCCCAGCAACTGATAAACATAATATTCTGAATTAGTCATTAAAATTACGGTCTATTTGTAAATGAGCACTTTAACAATAAGGCACAGAGTAGTTTCTCTTTCTACTTCCTCCATTGAAAAGGAATTTGAAAAATCCTGATTTGATTTTTATAATAGCACAAACTCCAGGAGGGAGTGCACATGCCCCATGCAGCCCAGGAATCACAGATTTAGGTTGACTCTCTTATGCATTGAATGGGCACTGGATCTGGGTTTCTTGCTTCAAATGAGTACAGTAACTGGGGTATTTTAAAGGTAAGCTTCCATTCAGTTGCCTGTGTTTTTATTTTAGAAAAGCAACTGTGTTTTAAGGTAGATGCAATCCTGATGCTGAATACTAGTCTAAGCTAAGTATACTTGCTAGACAGAGAACCTGGGGACCATGAGACGTAAGCATTTCATTACAGGAACTGTCATATTGGATGGGTTTCAGTATTCACATTTTCATTAATGTAGAGTATTCTTCCATGTAATGTTAGAATTTGTACAGAGATTGGCAGTCAGTCTCAAAATGTTTAATTTGGAAGTACTATTTTAAATCCTGATCAGAGATTCCCCCCCCCCCCCCCATATTTGATAGAATTCGTTAGTTAAGTTATATTCTATTCTTTAAAATTTGAAATCTTTTTTTGGCTGATGATGTGTGTTACCACAAATAGCATGCAGTTCTGTCTGCAGTGGAAAGTTTATCAACACTCTTCAAATAACTCATGCTATGATTTGTGTTGCTGGGAAACTATTTCCTAATTATATAAGAAATAAATGGACCAGAATAGGAAAAAAAAAATTTTATGGAAGTCAGATATCCTACACTGAGAACTACCATTTGAAAATACGTAAGTTTTTAGGAGCATTTTCACATATTTGATAATCTTGCTACAGAAATTCTGACATAATAAAAATAATTAGATTTTAATCCAATCAGAAGTGGCTTTTACTTGGTAGAAATGACATTATAATGAGAATTATGTAACAAATGCTTGAATAATTCTGAAAATCCATACACTCCACTGATGTCACTGACAGAAAATCCTCAGAAGCCATCATCCTGATTTAAAAACAGTAAAACAAATCCAGCTCTATTTTTCTCCAAAGATAAAAATCAGAATGCAACTGCTACAGTCCAAGAGACTGTAGCTCTTTCAAAGCATGTGTAAAGCTTGTATATGATACCACAGTAAATGGTATTGAATCTAGATGTACATTTTTAGTTTCCAGATCTCTTAACATGCACTATATAACATTGAGAGACTCCTTGTGTTGTCTTTTGCAATGTTTCAGTTTTTCTCAAATAATTAAGATTCATCTTCTAATATATGGGAAATGAAGTTATTAATAAAATTTTCTAATGAACTATATCGAAATGACAATAAAAAGGCATTGGATTCACTTGTGATACAACCTTATAGGATTCCAGTACCATTTTCATAGAGCAACAATCTACTTTAAGAAATACAGTCAGACTATGTATCTACAATAATATTTTGAGCTAAGCTTAGTCTGCAACTTCCAATTTAAACGATAGTTGCAGAAAACTGCTTAGAATTCTGCTTTATGATGTTTTATTTGAAGCTTCCATGATTTTTTCAGTGTCACCACAGAATGTCTTAAAATGTTAAAGGATAGTCTTCAGTTATTCTATGTAATTAAGTATGTAATACAAAAAAATCCATTCAATTGCCCTTAATCAGGAAGTAATTGGTTTTCTTGTTTTTTCCACATTAAAAGATTAAAAGTTTATCTCAGCAGGGTGGAAGAATAAAAACTGGCAGTTAATGCTGTAGCCTTGCCAAGACTAGAAAATAAAGAAGAGAAATAACCTTGGAAAAACCCTTTTAGCCTCTTCCTCTTAATGCATAATGCACTCTGTCTTGGAAATCATGTGGAGAAATAAATTGTCACAAAGATTGCATAAGGTTGTTTTATAGAAGCAATGAAAGTGAAGCTCCAGATACTAGTGATTTTATTTCATCAGTGGCCTTTGTGCAGAAGGTTGGATTAGTTTGTCTTGAATTTTGTGTTCTTTAAAAAAGTCTGTTGGAACACAATAGGATTCAGGTGCCTAAGTATATCCATCTTAGGCATGCAGGATTGGATATTTCTCGCTAGCTCTGACAAAGCCGTAAACACAGAATCATAGAATGGCCGTAGATGACATCATCTGTTAGAGAAAATGGTAACCTTTCACTAGTTTTATTTGGTTTGTTTGCATGGCAAAGTTTTGGTAGCAGGAGGGTAATACAGAGGGGCGGTTTCTGTGAGAAGCTGCTAGAAGCTTCTCTGTCCAATACAACCAATGCCAGCCAGCTGCAAGACAGACCCACTGCTGGCCAAGGCTGAGCCACTAGCAATGTTGGCTTCTCATTCTTTTCAGATCCTCAAATCAGAAAGCTCTATCTGGAATATTCTGATGGTTTTATGCAGAGGGAGAATAAGTCATGGAGACAGCCATGCTGGGTGAGCCTCTGTTTGAAGCCATACACTGATCAGGAGGCAACATGAGAAGCCTTTCTAGAGGAACATAGACTGGGAAGAGTTCCTGCAGTGATGACTGTTTTACCGTATCAGCAAGGATGGCACTGGGTCAAACAGTTCCATCAGTGTTGAAGCTGATGGCTCAGATTTCAAAAACAAAGTATAAACAATGAGAGTTAGATGAGTAAGAGCTTTAAGTCCTCATACTGAAGGGATTCCAGAGAAGTGTGGAGGATCTTTTTCTTCAAACGCGTGTGATGTCAAAACCTGATGGAACAAACCAGAATTCATCATAGCAAATTCTGTCACATTGTTACTTTGTCTTCAGACATTGACTCTAACACTTAGGTACAAACATGCAGAATCCAGCATTAGTAGTACTCGTAACTGAATCTCTTTTTCACCCTTTTCACAATATGCCTTTTTCTCATCCTTACATCCAGCAAACATCAACTTATATAAGCCTATAAATGACATTGTAAAGAAAATGGAGTCTGAATCTATCTCGTTAAACTTCTTATTGTTGGGTCACAACTCTCCAGCCATCTCGATCTTTTTTTCCAATTGATACAGCCTTCTATGCAGCTTTGAGATGTTATTCCCTAACTTGAAGAATAGCAACTGCTGTATTGGTATGTCAGAATATAGAAGAGACAGTGGAGGTGGAATATATAGATTCTACTGTAAGTAACATTCTAAGGAGAGAGATCTGAGAGGTATTCTACATGGACCTACAATGGCCTCAGCTTTCTACAAAAAATACAGTTTAACCACATCAGCACCAAAAGATAAGGATCCCAGATGCTTAGTCATACCGTGGAGAATGTGATGGTTATCAGCATCACTTCAACTCAACTGCAATTAATAAATAACATGCATTGTTTAATTAAGTTCTTAGAGCTTATTGCAGAATCTTTCCTTGGTGTGCACATATCATGCATGGTGAACTGAAGTTTAAATATAATAAGGAGCTTTAAAGTACTTTATTAAATACGTAAAATAAGGTCTTTTTAACTAACTTTCTTCATATTCCTTTTTAGGCTTGTATCACCAGAGCAGCCTCCAAAAGCAAAGTTTCTAACCTTGGGTTCCAAGTTCCGCTATAGTGGCCGTACACAAGCACAGACGAGACAGGCTAGCAACCTTATAGACAGGCCAGCTCCATACTTTGAACGCACTTCAAGCAAGCGTGTTTCCAGAAGCCTTGATGGAGGTATGAAGTTTGGCTTATTTCTTCAGTGTAATGATTACATTATGTGTTGTTGTTCTGATCTGACCGACATTCAAAGTGTTGACGTTACAGATGGCCAGAATGTCAGCTGCCAAATACATGAATTTCAGTTTCTGATGGGTGATCTGACAAAGCCACTTTGGTTACTTGTCAGTTTTAGGTAACCTAAACAGTAAGCTTAGTCATTGCCTAAATTGTATGGCACTTCTGTGAATATATGCAGAATTCTGTATCGGACATGTAGCATCTGTGTTCACTACTCATATGTATACTACGGTATATCAAATCAAATAAGAGAGAAAAATAATTTAAGGCCCTTCACTCTCTTGTGCTTTGACTCTATTCAAGTATACATATGCAGTATTTCCTCATTTTTCGCAAGCATGTCAGGAAAAGTCTTACATTCACTGAGCTGTTGTTTCTGCAGTTTTGCTAAGGTTCCAGAATAAAAATACTGTGACAGCTTTATGCATAGCTGTTTGCTATTTCTGTATTGCATTAAACCAGTCCTCTCAAAATAGTGAACTTCCATAAAACACTGTTGCCTATTTCTCTCTTTTGCTATGGTGATTTACACCGTCACAAGAACAGTACTTTCAATTTGTCTTCCAAGACTAATCAAGAAGTTGATAATCAAGTACCTACCTGATACTGTGAGGTTTTTCTCCCTTGCATGGTTAAGTGCACATTATATTACAAGGATGTGTTGCTGTCCGTGATGAGAATCACAGACTTCCTGCAAAGGCAAGAATCTGGAAAATAGTGTATTACTCAGTAAGTAGCTTGCATTGCTCATTGCTAACATCACTATAAAATGATTATTGTTAAGAAGTCTTAAAACCAAAATGTTCCAACTTACCTAAATTAACCAAAATGATTTTGCTCTCTAATAGCTCCCATGGGTATCTCAGACCTAAGTCTAAGAGACTTCCATGCTACTGGAGTGCAGGTTGCTGGAGATAAAGGAATCGACAGTGAAGCTGCTGGTCAGGCCAAGTTAAATGAAGGTGTTGGAGAAGATGGAAGCCCAGTCAAAACTCCGCAATTAGAACTGACTCAGGATGGAAAGGTATGGCTGACTTTCACACCAAAGTTATTTGTTCATGTGGTGTGTGTCCATGTGTGGCCTGTCACTTTGGGTGTTGTACAGAACACCATGTCAAAATATTAACGGAAAATTGTCAAGTGCTTTCCATAGATTTAACTTAATGTAAATGTATGTAAGCAAAAGAGATTACAAACTTCTGAATGGCATTGAGCTAGCGTTTCTTTTGTTGCTAGAAATTTAATTTGAGTTCTCAGTGGGCTTGCATGAGTTCTTGAAAAAAATGTTTCAAAGGTTAGATAATGTTTTATTAATTTCCTTAGTTCATTTAGACTTAAAAGTTAGTATAGCTATAGCTGTGTACGTTCTAAGAAGTTGGGTATATTATGACTGTATTTAATTACTGTAGGTAACAGTATTGTTTTAGTAGTCATTGCAGAATTATTTCATCCTTTAAAAACTTGTATGTTGACTGAGGAGTAGATTTCTATGAAAAGTTGAGTACTTTGGTCTGTGCCTGTTACAACCAACCATTTACTTGTCTTGTTTGTTTGAGCTACTGGGGGAATAGGTCAAAAAATTAAATTTAGATCTTGTATGATTTGATGTAAAAATTTCCTTCCAGAGTGTCAGCTAAAATCTGCTGCTCGTCTCTCTTGGAGAGCCTTTCTTTTTCAGGCGGTTCTCCAGAACTTTGTCACATTTAGAGTAATTTTGTTTTCACACATTTTTGTGAGCTACTGATTTGATTCCAAGGGGGAATGCTGAGTTTCTCTGTGCAGTTCACATGTTCCCGCTGCATTCAAGTGTAGGAAGGGAACAAATACCAACAGTTGCTTTTTTTTTTTTTTTGGGGGGGTGTGTGTGTTTTTTGTTGGTGTTTTTGGGTTATGTTTTATTTTTGTGTGTGTGGTCTTTTTTGCTTGTAAGTTGAAGTAATTTTGAATTAGCACAGTTTCCTTATTGGAGAAAATAGTAAAATAATTTGCTGTGTTTTGACTGTGGGCTTGGTAAAATGATGGTACTCCCTTGTTTTCAAAGTGGTAGTATCTTTCAATATTTTAACCAAAAGAAGAAAAAAAGCAGTATTTTGGGAAGTTGTTTCAGGAAGCTGTTCAGTAAGGTTTTGTTACACAGCCAATTGTGTGAACAGCTTTCTTTTCCCCTTAGTGCAGATACTTCTTTAACTTTCTGGCTCTCTTTAAGTCTTAGAGGAAATGGCTATACACCCAAGAATCAAAGTGCTAGCTTGTCTTTTGTGTACTGCACTGTCCCTTGACCTTTCTGCCTTTGAATGTCTGTCCGCTTCCATCTGTTTTAAGTGACTGTTACAGTTGAAAAGTACACAATTCTCTATAGCCTGAGAACAAAACATTCATAATGGGTTCCTTTTATAATCCACGGAAGTAAATAAGTTGGCCGCTTGTAAAATGCAAGGGAATTTCTATTTTTATTTGGCATTTCTGTCGCGTTAGTAGAGCTATCCCTGCTTCTAAGTAAAAATTTTCACTAACTAATAATTTCTTTTTTTTCCCCTTTTCTTGTGCCTTCAAACTCATATTTTGTTGTGCTTTCATTTTCCACTGTGCACAGAATTTTTTTCTTCAGCTCACTCATGTACACCCATCATCACTACCCATCCATTCTGTGTCATCCAGAAATTTGTCACCTGTCCCTGAGATGGACATGCTTTCAGATATTTCTGAGGAAGATCCCTGTGGGGAGCCCCTTCTGGCCATCCCAGACACCTCAGAGTGTAATTCCATGGAAGAAATAGCAGATCATAATGAAAACAAAATAGCTTCACTGAATAATACCTTTGAATCTATGGGACCTGTAGCTAGCCAAGGCTCCTCAGCTGTCGAGGGAAAAATCTATACAAAGGAGTACAAAAGCACTGACTTGTGTGTCTCATTCAGCTTTATCAGATGCTTTTCTTTTAGTTTCCATTCGCTGCTTGATGAGAATGGTTATATTACTTTTCCTAGCCTTCCTGATGTTTGCGTTTCTTTCCTCCCACCTGGGCTTCAGCACTATATTCCTATTACGTCTCCTTCTTTCATCCCCTCTTTTCTCCTCATCTTCCTGCTGCTTCTGTCTGCTTTCCAGTCAATTTATTTTTCTCTCACATTTTCCTTTCCTCTTGCTCTGTCCCTCTGCTACCTGGAGCCTAAGGCAACTTCCTTTAGTGGCTCTAATGACAATGACCTGAATGACAAAGCAGAGGAAGAGGAGGTGTGTAATTTTGTTGCTTAAATGTTGGTACTTGCACATAGCTTTTATGCTTATTCTCCCAGAAGCTTGCTCAGTTTTGCACACTTCCTAGTAGAGGGATATGTCTATGTAGATGTCTGTACATATATATATATATAAAAGAATACACACACACACGTGTATACCTGTATCTTTCTAACTTTTCCCATTTGTGAAAAATTGCCATTGTGGTATTTAGTAAATGGATGGCTAACTTGGGGGGCTTTTTTTTCCTGTCTGAAATCCTACAGCATGCATAATTCCACAGATACTGAGCTGCAGGTAGAGTTGCTTTGTAGTTCAAAATGTTTACAAGCACATAAATCTGAATACTGAAAGTGCTGTGTAATAATAGATACATTATTACTTGATGCTATTTGCAAGTTGTGCTGCTTTCACTATCAATTTGTGTTAAAATGCATGTCTTCTGCGTGCATTGACTGGAATGCACATCTTCAAATTCTAGTTAGATCCAAAAAGTGAAATTCCTAAGTGCTAAATTCAGAAAACTGAACACTTTAAACACTTTTGTTAATCCAGATTTCAGATGTTTGTGGTCTACAAGGGTGTGTGCAAATTTAAGTCTGTCCAAGGCACTTTTTTTGGTTTTAAGAGCTTTGATTAATTTCTAGCAGCAGATAAGGTGGAGACTGATTTCGTTCATGAGCTGGGATTGCAGATTTTGTCAGACTTTAATCACTGGAGTCTGAACATTCTTTGAAATACTCTGTTAAAATTGCTGTACAGAAGCCTCAGTCACACTAATACATTGCTCTGATCATCTGGAGGGGTTGAAAAAATGCCTCCTTTCCTTATGTCTACTGTGCATGGTACAGCAATACCACTAAAAGAAAGTGTTTTATTTTGATCTTCAAAGGAAATACGAATCCAAATACTACAGAATTGAAAAGGGGAAGGGCCTGTCCAATGTTACATTTAACAGAGTTTGCTCAACTGATTAAATCAATACAATATATATATTAAAACTAAACACGACATGCCATTAAAACCACCAATCTAAGTTTAAAATAATGGAAAACATTAATTTAAAGACTTCGCATCATTTGTAACATAAAGGTGCAGAAAATAGAACCCAGATAAGCAAGAAATAAATTAAAATGTGGTATGTCCCACATTATGCACAGCAGTATATGCAGTAAGTGAACCCGTCTTCAAATTTATGTACTTGAACAGTTTTGACCTCTAAATGCATCTTTTCCTAAGACTAGCAGTTGATATCAGTACCTGTGGAAAAACTGTGAAGCTGTTTGCATTTTAAACAATGCTGTTCCATAAGGTATTCAGAATACTTGTAGGTAAGATATAAAGATCAGCTGTCATTTCCAGTGAGTGCACTGCAGTTTGAGAAAGAATATATTCACCTAAAAAAGGGGGTAGGGTGCAAATAACTCATCCCAAGACTGCAACATCCTTAAAATAATTAAGATACTTTGTAAATATATTTTGTAAATACATCTAGATAGTTAGGTGCTTGACTTGAATCCTAGACTCTCTCACCAAACGAACTCATGCATTAAATTCCATTTTCCCATCAACTTGTTGCAGAGTTAAAGGCGCTTACTGTAGAAATTATGCATATCATTATCCGTTTTTCTGTACTCATTCTAAAATTTCCATATGGGAAAACACTGAAAAGTACAGCAGGAAAGGGACACAGTGTGAAACTTCCATTTTTCATGCCACTTATGCCAAATATTGCTTCAGCCATTCTCCAGAAATGTAGGTGAAGGAAGACCAAAGTCGCTTAATAATTTCAACAGCTGGGGCCGAAACAGTAAAGGTCTGTAAATACAGCACGCTTTGCAGCATTTACAAAGAGATGAAGCCTCCGTGTTAGTCTGGAAGCATATGTTAACAGTTCCTTTTCCTGATAATTCACCACATGCTTGCATAAGTGGGATATGAAGAGGAGGAAGCACAGCAGAAGGTGCATGGTTGTGTTTTTTACAGTTAAATCTGGCTGTACCTGCCTGCCTTGATAGCACCCCGAGCTTTCTGTGGATTTAGTCTGAATAGTGCCTTTTCACCTCAACATTTTTTTTTCCTTTATTTAACTGTCTGATTCTAAATGTCTTTTTTTTTTTTTTATTTTTTTGCTGGTGCATTCTATGTTCATTTTGATTTTTTTTATTTTTTTTTTTTTTTGTTGCTTAATTTCACAGAGCAATTCCTTGAGAGTAAACGGGGAAAATATTTATGTCAGACATAGCAATTTAATGTTGGAGGTTTGTATACAATATAAGCAACACTCTTCCTTCTCACGGGCTGCCAGGCTGCATGGGATGGGAGGTCACTTGCAGGCTGTACAGGCACAGTGCATGAAGTGCATGGGGGAAAAAACAGCTTGGAAATGTTGCATGTTACCATTCTAGTTTCTGAGTTTATATTCAAAGCAAACGGAACCACCAAAAACATCCAAACAAATAAAAAAACCCTTCAGCTTGAAAGTTCAGTGTACATTTTTAATATTTTTGCTAGATGTTTTCAAGGTGGCAATTGGGAATAATAGCCCTATTTAGATAAAGCAAACACTTGGGTCCAATTCATAATGCTAAATGGGATTTTTATACATTGCTTCTCAATGTGGGCATCTTCTGGTGAACAGGGTATCTAGTTTTTGCCAGTTTAATCAACCTTTATCACATGCATTATGTGAATAAAGAGAGTTAGTGAGGCACAAACAGTGGTAGAAGTATGGAAAAAAACCTAACTGTGGTCCTGATGTTCATTTATGGTAGGAGTTTTAAGAAATGTATGTGAGGATCAGATTTTTAAGGGGAATGTTAAGATACGCTTCTGAAATCTTTGCTTTATTTTTTTTCACTTTTCAAATGGAAGTAATTCCTTCTTCCTTAAAGGTTGGTTTTCATTGAAGATGAGCAACAAGAAAAGAGCTTTTAACAGTATGTTAATGCATAGTGTTTTGTCACTGAATTTCCATATAGTTTGTTAATCTAGTAACTGAAGAAATTGTAGAAAATCCTTTGTCTTTAAATGTTATTCATTTATTTCAATCATCCAGATGGGGCTATAAATAATTCCCTTTGTCACAAAAATTGGGTTTTTTAAAAAAATCATTGGGTTTGTTCAGTAATAAGGAGATGTATGGATCACAGTAACCTAACTAATATGTTTTCTGGCTTTTTGCAGCTTTTGATCACTACTGAAACTTTGCTTGTGTGTAACTTACTAAAGCACTGAGAGTTTGTGTTGTGTAACTGTGTTTTAACAAAGTCCAAGAAAAGTGCCTTATGTCAGGTTTTAAAATGATGATGTGATTGTTATGAGCTTCAGTTGTGTAATAGAATGCCTTTGTCATAAGATTTTACTTCACTCAGAAAATACATACTTTAGAGGAACATATTTAATGTCACATTTGTAAGTCCTAGATTAAAAGTGAAGCATTGATCCTGTCACAGTATGAACCTACTGAGTTGCCAGAAGGGGAGAAGTTCTTAGTATTCAAAGTGCATGTGAGAATATTTGTAGAATTAGGAAATAGATGTGCAGCTTCATACTGTTATTTGAATATGTAAGTGAAAAGAAATCGGGAACTAATGAGTTTGTACTGGGTTTGGATTTTTTGTGACTTAAGACAAAGTGTCTTTGCATTGTGAGCACTGACTATGAAAATCCTAACCAAAATGTGGAAGTAAAATTTCAAAATATTCAGTTACAAAGTATGTAAAATCTTTGTAAAAAAATCCAGCTGCTTTACGTAAATTATTATATCTGATTACATTCTTTCATTAAAGCTTAATTAATAATTATATCTACATTGATATTATTCGATTTTAATCTCCAGTCTTTTAGTTCCATACTAAAAATGGGTCTGAGGCTTAAATTTCAGCACAGAATACAAAAAAAAATATTCTTGTGATAGTGTGTGCATAACCATCATAGGCTTTTCTCAAGACCTGGCATGCTGGAAGGACGACAGATTATGAAAGCAGAGTGAAATCTGCTGCTCAGAGCTCAGCATTGTATTTAAAGGATAATGAATTTTCAAGAAAGCTAGGCGATAATTTTTTGCCGACCTACCAGAACAGTTACATTTCTGCATAGCTCCTGATCCTTATGTCTGCTCCTGTATCTGATACAAAGTGAAAGACGAGCTTGTAGTTATTTGATCCAAGGTGCTGCAGCTTGGCCTCAATGAGCCATCACAAAATATAATTCAATATTCATGCTATGGTGACCCCTTTGGCACTTGCCTATGTAGATGCAATTTAGAGAGAATGCTCCTTCGGTATTGGCATGCATAAAAACTATCCCTACTTGAGTGGTGTGTCTGCTGTCAGGTTCTTAAAGTGGTAGATACCAGGCTTTAAGTCTTTAAATCTCATCCTTCTAGTAAATTTAAGCCTACATAACAGATATAATGAGTAGTCCTTCTGAAGTTAAACAGGTATTAGCTGCTCACGTATTTGGCCCTGTAGCGTTGTCTTCACAGAAGTATTTTTCATGGAGCTTGTAATATCAAGAAAGATGCATTTTTATAATGCTTTTTGGGTTAGACTATTCTTTCTTACAGCTACCTTCAGTAATGTTGTGCAATATCCCTAAGTGTTTGCTTCTGGACTTAGAAATTTCAGGTGAAAGCCAGTAACTACTGGAAATTATGATTGATTCAGAGGGTTGGTAGTTTCACATTTCGGATAAAAATAGCCCTCAGTTAAATAACCATGCACAGCATTATTTTTTCTTTGCCCTAAAATACGGAAGAAACAGTGTGAGAGTGGCTGTTCATTACAAAAACAAACCCAAACAAATCATGGTTCCTTTATACCCTTAAACTTTTTTATTTCAAGGCACTCCAAAGAAGTGAAGCTCTTCAGACACAAGGCACTTTTCTTGGTTTGGTTTCTTTTTCCCCCCTTTTTTTTTGTTTTATTTTTCCCAGTTAAGTTTGCTTTTGTCGTTATGTTTTGTCCTACTTTGTTTTACGTTGCGGGTTGCTAGGACCTGGATAAGACCCAGGACGACTTACTGAAACACCAGGCTAGCATTAGTGAGCTCAAGCGCAATTTCATGGAATCCACACCTGAACCACGCCCAAATGAGTGGGAAAAGCGGCGTATCACACCTCTGTCCCTACAGACACAAGGGGTATGTCACTGCTGACATTGTCCACATGCCTTTCATGCAACCCCGTATGTAATACAGTAAATGCAGGTTGTCCTTTAGATTAACACTTTGTTTGACTAATGTGATATTTGTTTGTACTAAGTATACATTAATGTTTTAGCACTTACCATTGGACCTGACTTTAAACAATGTGTGGAATTTTATTCTTCAAGAGCAACTTAATTCGAATCACTAGAAAAAAAATGGAGGTGATGGCCATATTTTTTTGTGTTAAGGACAGCTGAAATTTCACTCTTATTTACGCAGATTGATGGAGAGAACATTTCAGTGACAGTAGAACTTTCCCCTCCATTTCCCACTCTTTAACTCTTCATAGACAGCTTATGCATAAACAAACACACAGCCTGTGTGTTGTTTCAGAAAGACCTTATACGATCAGTTAATGTATAGTGTTGACTTCTTTGGAATGTATTTAATGTACTTGTTAAAATTTTCTCACCTTACTCTCCAAAAGTCTGTAAAATGAATATATCTACTTTTTCTCTGTACCTCCTTCCTTCCTGAACCTTAAAACAGCAGTCTGGAAAACAATATTCTACAATTGTCACCCTCAATACCTGTGGCAAGAAAACTACCCAAATTTCTCTCGCCGTTGCAGAGTTATTTGTTGCTTCTTTCATAAAGTAAAAGAGCAAATCAGTCTTCAAAAGCAATCAGTTTATCTTCTGTTGTTACTGTTTTCTTTCACTACTGTTCCTACCCTTCCCTTCTAAATGTAATGTTGTCCTATCCCATTAAATTCTAAAGTATTCTCTTCAGTTCCTAGAGAGGTGAACTTTCACCCCACTTAAGCTTGCATGCTGTTACCAAATTATTTTTGTTCATAGGACATTATTTCAATAGGAGATTTAAGGAATCTGACCTGTGAATATGTGCCTACAGATAGCAGTCACTGACTGTATGGATCACTTCTTTAATGAGTATTTTGTTAATTTATGGTTACTGCCAAGAAAATACTCCTCAAATTTCTGAATAGTTCCCAAATATTTCTTTGTATAGTGGTATATGCATAGGTACAAACATTGGTCTAATTTTCAATTGTCTACGACACATTCGTTCATTTAATGGCTGTAAATATATTTTTGGTTAAAATAGACATGTATATAAAAGCATAACTTAATTTTTATTATGTGGTTGTGTGTATTTTCTGTGTTGATTTCTTTGTATTGAAGTTGAGGCCCCTCCAAGTTATTTTATCTCAGTATTTTTGTTTATCTAGTATGTTCTGTCAGTTTCAGATGGATTGGTTTTATGTTTATGTATAGTGCATGTCTGTCTCATTGATTGTTGATTTACACTGGTTTTATGAAATGAAAACCAAATAGAAAAAAGGAGACCACATTTTCCAAGTGAAAACGCTGCCTGGGAAGGACAAGCAATGGAGTGCAATGCCATGGATTGCTGGAGCAAAACCAGAGGAAACCAATAAGGTGGCTGCCCTGAAACCTACTGCCTTTTTTGCTGTATCTGCTCTGGGCTAGCTTGGGCACTTCTTTCTTTTTCTATTTTTTACCTCTGATGGAGATAACTTTTTTTTAAGCCAGTACTGAAAGCGAAGGTTGAGTTGTAAACCAGGATCTCTGTGTTTATGTGTACACACACATACATGAATGCCAGCAACGTTTTACTTAAACACCATAAAGTTCTGAATTGACACTGTTGAAAAGAAAACCAGTTTTTCACTGGAAAATTACTGTATTTGATGGGACTAGGATGACAGTAAAACATGTATTTCCATTCTATATGGAAATAATTGCAGTTATTTGACACTTCACACAAGAGCTTTTGCTTTACTTATATATGTAATCATTATTCAAATGAATAATGCTGTAGAAGCAGCTTCATTTCAAAGGCAATTTGGTTCTGCGTATCTCCACACTTCTGTACCTCACTTTTCATCCAGGAAAAGAGGGAGGTTTCCTCCCCCATAAGTTGGTCTAACATGGTGAAGGGCACTAGGTAATCAGTGGGGGACTACTAGCAGTGTGGTAGTGATGATGGGTGGCAATTGTAATGTTGCTTTTTTAAATCACTTTTAGACTCTTCTGTCACTTAGGAACTGGGACAAAAGTAGGTTAATGTGAAGCTGTTTCAGTAACATATACAGATATGAGGTTTGTGAAACAGTGTATTTCCAGCCTGAATTATTTGTGACGGATGTAGAGAAGTTTGTGTTCAAGTGCTTTGTTATCCCTGGTTTATAAACTCACTGGCATTAGTAGAGAAATACATTGCTCAGTCCTATTGCTGAACTCTGTTTCCTTGCCTACCTGTTAGGACAGCTGGACAGTAGACAAGAATAAAGCAGGGATACTACTGCTAATATTTTTTATTTTTTTTTTTTTCCCCTTCTGCTTCAGTGAAAATACTTGCAAATAAGTAATTTTCTGCATATGAGAAATGTTATTTTGGGTACATTTTGTTTGTGCCACTACACTTCTGTATCACTGTACTCCCACAAATGCACAGCATCTGTGACTTAATTGTAAGAGAACTTTTGACACATTGATATGTATGTCACAAATACGTGAAATGTTATGTTATGGGTGCCCACAATATTTTACTTTCTTGTAATTCATCCACTCCTCCACGCTGCTTGTAAACAGTATTTCATGTTAGTGTTTATGACTGTGTACCAGAAGGAATTTACCAGGAATTTAAACATCTTCACAGGCTGATACAGTATTGCAACTACAGTAATTTGATGAAAAGTGCCCATTCGATCTATACATTTTAATCATTTTTAGTATATGCCTCCTCAGGGAATGGGGGTTACATTATCAAACAAATAGCGTGATTGGGGTTTTCCTTTCAAAAGATTGGAAGACCTAAAAATTTGAATCTGGTAAAATGCAAAAAGATGGGTGGTATGTGCCTGTCTTTAATTATATATGTATTTATATGGGTGGGGGGAGAGAGAAATGCACACAGTCTGACCACATACCACTTTGATAATTCCCCCCAACCCTTTTTTTTTTTTTTTTTTTAAATTGATTTGAGTGCTTAGAAAACATGTGGTACTAGAGTATAGTAGAAGGAGTGTCAACACTTTTTGCCTTTTGATGTAATCTGTTAATAAATGAACATTGGGCACGTTAAACTAGGCAAACAAAGTGGGGGTGTGAGGAACACGTTGCCTTGATGGATCTTGAATGCTGCAGGAGGGCAGATTTTTAGTAAGTCGCATTCACATTAACTCTTCTTAGCCACCTTTGAAATATATTTTAACTTTATTTTAGTGAAAAAAGTATAGGGGTTCTTTTTTTTCCTTCTCTGTTCTTCTGCATGCCATATGTGTTGTAGGATATGCACAGTAGCATGTTGTAACTTATGTCAGTTCAGATTCTACATTGCTGCTCACATGCTGAGTCCACACGGACCACAGTTGTCTGCATGGCACCTTGGCTTTCCTCTGGCATGTGCTGCCATGATTCTCTGTAGTACCATTTTCTAAGACAAAAATCTGTCTATCTTCTTGAACACTATCCAGATGTATGTTATGTCCATGTGTAGCTGTTTTTTACATTACTGGCTTTTTATTTAAACTGGTTTCACTTCTAACTTAATAGAAGAGCTTGTGGAAGGAAAACTAGAATGAAGAATTTGAGCCTTTGAGAGGCTTGTACCCACATGAATTTTAAAAGTTTGCTTTGTCATACGGATTTGTAGTACTACAGAAAATAGACCAGATGATGAACATAATTTATGCTTTAGAGCAATATACCCTTTTACGTGTGTTTGAATAAAACAATTTCTCCCAATAGAATGGGGAAGGCTTTTTTAAAACAGATTCTTTAACAGAAACAAATTTGCTTACATGATATAAGCATTTGGAAAAAAAAAAAAAAAAGCCCATATATATAACATGTAAAGAAAACCTTGTTTCAGCGTTGTAGGTGTATATTATTCAAAGCAAATATATCAGAGTACCCTGAAGCTCTGAGCCAGTTGGGCATCAGGTGGTGTTAAAAATGGATTTTTAAAAAGGCAAAATCCCAGTAGTAAATATGGAATTACTGGCTAAATAAAATGTTCTGTTTGGAAAGGGCATTGAAGTGTTAATGTTTTTAATGTTTATGGTGTGAGTTGCGTGGTGGAGTATGAGTGTGTGCTGTGGTGATTGCTGTTCTTGTCCTTCTGTTTTTCTACTGCCCGGGATCTTGTGCCCTGCTGTGCTCCTTCAGCGTTCTCCCAGCCAAATCCTTT